ATGCATTTTAAACTCTTTCTCCCAGTATGACAGCAAGTGCTACTGATTTTTTTGATGTTCTGCGATAGATGCAACACATTTTGACAGGAACAGTCAACAGCAGAGATGTGTACTACTGTAGTTATTCTTTAGTTAAGATTCAGTAATCTTTTATTTTAAGGTTTAATGGTTCCCCATGATGTCTGAAGTCGAATTCAGCAGTTTCTTAAACGTCATCTGTGAAAGCAACATTTTTTAAGTCAGATATTTATGATTTAGAAGGCTCATTGTAATTCTGCTCTACGAACTCAAAAATCTCCTAGGTTTCTGATTCAGTGGTGTTTGGCGTAAGAAATAACTGATGTTATCCCTTTGTTACACGTTGCATAAACTGCGGTTTTCTTCGTCACTAAAAGCTAGCACCGGATATTACGGTATAGAAAGTGCCCTGAAACCGGTCTGATGGCGAAATGCACTGGTAATAAAAACTTTAAAATTGGTTTTGTTTTGAGCTTTGAATGATGGATAATCTGTTTCAACAACAGTTCCTAAACAGGTAAGCGAAGTGTTACAAAATGGATTTCTGCTTGTAAATTCACTTTTTTGACAGAATTTTTATCTGTGTTCATTCGCTACTCTGTTGTCTGAATTTCATTTCAGCTTTTTGTTATAATCTGATATTTCTTTTATAAGTGCCAGTGCTGCTGGATTAGATGTTCTATAGCATTTATGCAAATATTGAGTTTAAAATAAAAACGCAGTTTTTCTTTAAGCATTGCCTTGTATCCTTCTTCAGCTCTTCTATTAGAAATATGCTTTAAAGTGTTTCGCTTTTAGTCGGTTGGACAAATGAGCAGTTCGCTACCTCTGAATCTTCTGGCTTAAAAGCTAAGCTGGTGACATTGATTTTTTCTGTTCAAACTGTCATGCGCGGTAAGACTTTGAACATTTTGCATAAACGTTTATGTTCCGTTGTTTTCCGTGTTTTTATAGTTAAAATTTGTAAATATTTGTTTGTGACTTTTGAGAATCGGGCTTTTTTACTTAAGAAAATTTTGTATAGTTTTATTGAGGGTCATCAGCGAGGTATCCCATTGGTTGTTAGTATAAAAGACGAAAATTAATTAAATAACTATAGTTTCCCATCACTCTCTGGATTTACACAGCATGAAGGGACGTTGAAACTACTCCGTGTAAACCTGAATTCAGAGATCGTTCTGGTAATCATCTGCTGGTTGTTAAGCTCAGAATCCAGAGGCAGTTTACGAGGTTATGTGCGAAGCACTAGGATACGTACACTTTAAACTTCGTTGATGATGAACAGGGGTCTAGCGAAAAAATGTTGTTAGATAGATCTGGCATTGCAGGTGGCATTACGGTATTCCTCGATCATTCATAGAAATGCGAAGATATTACCAGTGCTCAAATATCTAGTACGAAACCCCGTTTGGTTTGCTCTCGGCGACTTTTCCACCATCTTCCTTGGTCTGCTCATGATGATCATGTGAATGCCTACTCTTCAGCAGACAGCAGGGTGAACCCTTGAGAGTTCGTGCATTTCGAACGATTGTCACATTTAAAAATGGGGATGCTTACTCTCTTCTTCGAATCTTCCGAAATCGAACCTGTCTGTTAGACTTTGTAGATCACCTGATATATGCAGAAAATTATATCCGGCATGGCCTTAAAATTTCTTCGTCTGTTGGAGCTCCACTTTTGACATTTATGTAGTGTACGGTACCCTCGGCAAAGGAAAAATCTTCGGGAGTATGACTGAGTTTGTTGGGCAAGTTTTTAAAATATTGAGGCCATCATTTTCCGATAGCTGACAGCGTCCGTATGACTTAATTTTTCTCGATGTATGTACGCATGTGGCCATTTTCATGTTTTCGTCATTACCACTCAGAGTCGCAACCGGCCTATTCACCATTTTCCAGTCCCCTGTGTTCGACACAAATATAAGGAGTATCAGCTGCTGAAACATCGTTTGTAACACACTCGACGTAGTTCTGGCGAACAGAATGATGCAGGATTCACTGACAGTGCAGGTGCTTAAATGCTATTGAGATGTGACCTGCGTAAATGGCTCCCATAGGCAATTAGGAGCAATGGAGCGGTGCTGTACGCCGTAAAATCTTGAGTTTTGGCGCAGTTATGCGCCATCATGCAATTTATGCATTGCAATAAATTTTCACTTGGCTTAACTTCACTGTATCTGTCTCCAAAATCTGATACTTTGACTGCACATGATGGTTTGATTTCTGTTCGATCTTATGTTTAAAGTCTTCTTCAACTTTTGCTCCATAGAATGCGGTTAATTTGTAATTTTTGTTTTAACGTTGGTTTTTGTAACACCTTGCATATAACTAGATTACTTTTAGTTCCACTGATTGGAATCAACAGCGTTGTCATTGTCGCCAAGCTGCTGTTTGGCTAAATCTCATTCCATATAAATCGTATAAGCTATTCCTTCCTCTTCAATAGCTGAACTCCAGTTATGTCAGATATCACCACGTTAGAGTACTCAACTTTGAAAGTGCCGTACGAAATTGTGAACAAAAAATTTCGCGTCGCGCAGAAGACGCTCGATCGGGAAACAGCGAGAGTCAGCGACGTCGTGAATGAGGTTGACTCTGTCCTGAAGAAGCCGAACGTTTTTGTACGTGATCTGAACCCAGTGGTAGACAATTTGATAGAAAAGATCAGGAACATGAAACGCAAGATGTCAGAGGTGGTAGCAGATGAAGTCGAGGTCATCTCCATCCTCAAGCATTCCGTTGATCATCTGAAGGTAATTCAACGTTTCTCTAAAAGTGAACATGTAAAATTTAAATGTGTTTCATTGACTCGCTACTCTCATTTGGTTCAGACTCATTCTTAATCTTTACTTAGGATAGATAAAGAAAAACTTTTTATATAAGTCTGTTCGCCATGCTGAAATGTTTTTAGTTTACTATAGTAACATTCTTGTTTGTTGGATTTTCTGCAATTTATAACATTTTTCTGTGATAAAACAAGATGACTACAAAGCTTTCACATCACTGATTCAAGCTGGATGCGTTTAATCGAATTCTTTTAATGGGAAGGTCACAGACAGGACTGATGCGAATGGCCAAAGTTTTCAGTTTATGAGGCAGTTTTTCTAGCCTACTCTCTGAATTCTAAGCACTTTGTACTCCTGTTTTTTGATATTGTAATTATTAGCACAAAAGCCAAAAATAAGATCCTTGTTTTAGTCTTGACTATGTTTGTTTGCAGCCTAGCTATCTTTATTGTCTACAAGCAGTTAATATGATTTAGTTTTACATGACTGGTGATATTTATGCTTAAACGAATACCGTACAGTAAGTTACTCTAAAGCAGAATATCACAAATGAATTACATCATGAAAAGATAAGTAAGGTCTCCATCGTATGTGTTATAGACTTGTCGTTTCTTCCCATCTGTCAAAAGGCATGTCAAAAAAGTTAAAACATGCTGGTTTGTACAATTTACGTGAGCTTCTTGGCGAAGTCATGTGAAAGCTGACACAGGGGCAAACCTAATGACTTGATTATATAGAAGAACTGCATTGCCGTACTTTTAAACTTTTGTTATGCAGTTTAATTATTAACGAAAGTCCAGAAAAATTATAATAACCCCTTGAAGCTGATGTCTCCACAGTCCAAAGCGAATAACGATTATTGATGATGAATGTTATAAATTTATCTTTCAAAACCAGGTTTACGCGCATTTAGCATTGATATTTTGTCAGCCGTTAACAAGGCAAGGCTCTAATTTATCTGCAAACTAGTATTTGCTTCTCATCCTGTTTTGAGTGTGTTAAGTGCATGTTACCATATTCGTGAAGCACTAGTAGCAATTAATGCAATGCTTTGTTGACCTGAAGCGCATTTATCGCTGCAGTGAAGGCCGGCTTACTTGCTCCCACTCATGCAAGGGATTTTGGAATATGGTTTTTTGAGTTTGACGCTTATCACCTATTATGTACACATCGTGCTCAAAATCCATGACTACAATTGTGTTTGGATCTAACCCGTGATTACCTCATATGTAACAGATAAGCTCATTTGTATTTTTCATGTTTGGGAAATTCGTGAAAATTAGCCTTATTTCAGATTGTTAAACAGTGATAGCCAGTTTCTTTCATTTGATGTAATTCAGTTTTAAATCTACTGTTTGCAGATTATGTTCTTTCTTTCTATCATTTACCTTCCTCGTTTATTTTATAATCAACGCTGAAATCGGTTGGTTTTCATTTTCCTTTTTATTGACAGATTGGCCTAAACAACGACGATTCGGTTGCGTTACGTAAATGGCGTAGTATAAGAATCGATCGAATGTTGATTGACTACTTTCTTCGCGTCGGCTACTACAAGACAGCGTTAAAGTTAGCAGAAAATGACTCTTTGGAGTCATTGACAAATGTATCTATTTTTATGCGGGCCCGGGAAGTCGAAAAGTCACTTCTCAATCATGAAACCACAAAATGTCTGGAATGGTGCCATGACAATAGATCAAAGTTGAGAAGACTGAAAAGTACTCTTGAAATCAAGGTAAGAAATTCGTATGCAATTTTCTTGTTTTTAAAGCTGACGTGCGTTGTATTCATTTTCAAACTGGCATGATTTATAAATTATAGTGGCGATTTATATCTTCCTTTTTTGCAGTATTTCCTGTTGAATTTTGCATTAATCTTCGTTCTCCATTGTGACATTTATAATTATTTTAATTTGTCAAATCAATTCAGTTCGTAATGACAGCGAAGATATCCTGATGATAGATGATATCGGTTTATAACGAGCTACTATCTTACATTCAGTTATTTTACACAGCTTGAGTCAGTGCAGAATTTACGGTTGTTACAAAAGAACCATTAACTTTTCCACAAATTGAAGCTCTGCCATGTATTCAGTCGGACTGAATTCCTTCATTGTCTTCCAAAATTTATACTGGTTCAGTGGTGATGTTGAAAATTGCACGTCTTCTAGACAGAACGTTTACTGATACAGTGCTTCTAGGTATGAAGAAAATGCATCGATCCGTTTCTTTAAACTAAGCTAACGCCATATTTTTCATTATCAGAGTTCACATCTGAATAGTGTTCATTCACTGCGATGTTTTCAAAAATATAATCTCTGTATAAAGAGTTTTTCGAATCGTATTGAAAGGCCGCTGTGAGACCCTTTGCTTCTCATTATATCGTTCATTAGTTTCGTAGGTACTTAGAGTGTAACGAAAACCGGTTTTATTGACTTTCTTGCTCTTTTCAAGCTATAAATACTTCCCAGTTTGAGGTTTCATTGCTTTTCTTATGTTCTTTATTTACGTCACTTAAAAAGTTTTTACTTTTCATATGCACAGTAATTCCTTTGCAAGTTTCGCTCCACAGTTGACAAGTGACATTCTTACTGTGTAAAGGCATTCTAAAATTGCCTCTTGCTTAACTTTTTTTAAAAATATGGTTTGGTAAGATTGATGACGGGTTCATTGAAGGTTCGCCAGCAGGAATTCATCGAAATGATACGACAAGGCCTTTGTCGAGAAGCGCTGAGGTACGCCTCCAGACATTTTAGCCACGTGGACAAGGATCTGTGGCCAGATCTTCTGCCCGTCATGGGATTGTTGATTTACAGGGAAAACACTAAAATTGAAGCTTACAAAAGTCTGTTCGCACCTGATCGGTGGGTGCAGTTGATGAAGGATTTTCGTGTAGAAAATGCCCGTCTTTATCATTTGAGCAAAAGTTCTGCGTTTGCTGCATGTCTTCAGTGCGGCATTTCATCGATGAAAACAGCAAAATGTGTGCAGCGGCAGAACAGTGCTGAACCGAAAGGTTTTGATGAGTCAAATTTGCTGAAAAGTCGAGAAAAGGACTGTCCGATCTGCTGTGATGAAGTTCGCGAATTGGCCGCTCCTTTGCCTTGTGCCCACGCGACACAATCCAGACTTATCTGTGCTTACAGCGGAGAGCCACTGAATGAAAACAATCCACCTATGGTCTTGCCGAACGGAATGGCTTATGGTCATAACTCATTGATGGCCATCATGGCTGAAAACAATGGCCGAATTGTATGCCCAAGAACAAAGGACGTATATGAATTTGAACAGGCGAAAAGAGTTTATGTAATGTAACTGCTTCTATTCACTAACAATCATTTTTATGCTGACATTTAAAATTTGCGAAAGGTTGTTTAAACATTTAAACAATTTAACAGGATTAAATAAAATCATCTTTCGTTCAGTGCTGTACTCTAGTGACGATTTGAGCAGTAAAACTTTTAAATTAACGAAGTGACATCTGAGACAACAGAATTATTGTTGTTTATTATTTACGTCGACACCGAACGTGCCGTTATGTATTATTTAAGGTTGAACTACCAAGTGTTTAAAAATTTAAATACATTTTTTTGTTAGAATACGCCATAGCAGATTTGGACTACGGTTTGATTGTCCTGCTGTTACTTTTCATTTAAGACACGGTATCCTAATCGTGAGTAGAACCTACGTTCTACAGTGTAAAGTTGGTTATATGGTTAGTACGAACGTGATTCCGCACTTGCTGAATCCGAGTTAAACTATTTAAATAATAAAATGAAAAGTTGTACTTAGATAAACTAATATTTTTAGGCTTTATTTCAAAGCATGCAATGTCCACATTCCTTTGAAACTACTTTTGGAGGCACCTCCTACTTGGAAAAGTATTACGGGCACTTTGAAAAATTACTTGATCATGTTTATACTGATTTATGCTGTGTAAACATATTTATCACAATACTGAAGTCACAGAGTGTTACTGTCCCTGCATTTTGCTGTTCAAATTTTGGTCTGACCTTTGTCTCGAGCTTTTTCTTCCTTCATCTAGATTTATCCACGTTTTGGCTAATTAGAATCTAATCCCCCCAAACTCATGTTCCGTTAATGATTCGCGTCAATCCAGCAACAGAGGTAAAAGCTCACCATCATTGTTTTGTGTTGCTTGTCATGTATCAAGAAAATATCCAATTGATAATTTGAACTGTTAGACGCGTCTTCTTTCTCAACCTGGAGGAGGAAAAGGCCGTAGAAACTGACTGACCGATGACAGTGGAAGTAAAAAGTACCACAGTTTGAACATGTGGTGGCATAATACTTAAAAATACGTCAAAGGATCATCAGCCCGACGGCAACAGCGAAGATCCTCTCATCTGAAGTTATCCTGATTTGTCTGCACCATTTAGGAACAGTGGTTTCCTTAGAAACCAAAACACGTAACTTCAACGATTTCCAGCAAGGGTATTATTAAAGCCTTTTAACTACTCATTGATATAATCGAATAATTAATCAGGTCATATTGTGTGACAAATTATGAGACATCACGTTCATGCTGTAGAACCGACAAATCAAATGCCGGATGGCGGCATACGCTTAGAAAGGACATCAGATTTTTCAAGGGTAATTAAATCCTCAGTCGTTACTAAAGAATCTTACGACGAATGTCTCTTAAGATGTCCTTAAGGCAGACTTGTAGACATTTAAGAGTATTTACATCGAGAAGGAAGTGAAAGATGCCAAGCATCCTAATCCCTTTACCATTCTATGTACGTCATAAGTTATACTGACACAGAGCCTAAATAAAAAGAAACCACGAAAATGTGCGAGCGCGCGCTTATACTGATGCTATTGGTTATGAATACTAAATTACACAGTTGTTTAGGCTCAGACAGGAAACCTATTTCGAAGCATGCCTGAGCCTGGCTTTCCAACAACTTTAAACTTTACAACGGATTTTTAAACCACTTTAATCGCATGGAGATGCAGAATGTTGTGCCAGGCTTTGCTCTTTCAAGGCTTTCGTACTCGGGTAAATACGGCAAGGAGTAGAAGATAAACCTTTAGGCTAATTAACTTCCCTTGATTCGTTGCTTAGCAGTTAATTTACTGGATGAAGCGGTTCATCGTTGTTCTGTATCATGATTGTGGTTTGTAAAAGAACTTGAAAATCACATGATAATAACTGGCACTGTGCCAGTAATTCTTCGTTCACTGGAAGGCAATGATAACCATGCAAGCAGCAGCCGTGTTTTCAATCAGTAGATATTTATCTTTGCGCGGAGCTCATTTTCAGTAAGCTAAACATATCATTACCGGTGATCAGAAGAACAACGGAGATGACTACCACGGAACAATGCCTAGTCGTCCATTCATTCGTTTACGTAGTCTATCAAAGAATAAAGGCACAGTTGTGCCATCAGTTCTTATCCTCAATAAAACGTGATTTGCATAATGCCCAATGAGCAGAGGATGCAGTCAAACACTGATAGAGTCAAAACGAAAAGAAATATAGGCCCATGTTTTAAATAGGAGAACTGGATGATGCATCTTTCTTCAAGTGGATAAATTTTAATATCAAGGACGAAACCAGGTGATGGACGATTGCTGAAAGTTATCGTGTAAAATGGATTTTCCAAATATTTCAAATTTTTGCTTTTCAGTTGAAACATTTCTTTATTCGGTACCAGTATTTTTGTGACAACTCATCAGGTTGATAAGATACTAATCAAAGTATAAGCTGTTCAGCAGTCACCAAAAATTTATTGGCAAAAATTATGCATGCTATGCAGAATGGGAAATAAAGGCTGAACGGTTCTTCTTGAAATTCTCATTCTTTCTGTGTTTAAAGCATAACTCGCTCTTTATGGCTTATCGAGTTTTCGTTACGACGTGTATCAATCTGTTGCTTCTAACGTTTAAACTGAAAATTCCAATGCAGTTTTTTCAGCGTCTAGAGTCTGAGCAGAGATGAAAGTGGAGTATGCTCTCACCGATTTAAGGAAATCAGAAGGCTCACGGAAAAGTTTTCCAGCAGGTTTGAAACGACATGTCTGAATCTTGTAAGAAGATCACGGCTTTAATAAATGTAGCAAAACCTTAGTGCCTTCGACGCGTAGATGTAGACTACAGTAATTACAGTAGACCTTCGCAAAAATCAATCAAGTGATTTCAGGTATTAATTTTTGAGCGATGTCTTTTGGCACGAAGAACAAGGCACTGCCACACTTTGCTAAACCACGTGAGCTGCATTGATCAGAGAGACATGGCCGTGACCCGATGTAATCAGGAAAGACCAGGTTGTTATCAGCATTTCTCGTGATTGGTTTACGGTTGGTTAAATCGATTTCAAATCACGTGTAATCGAATTTGCCATCATCAAGAAGAGAAGAGAGTCTGTGCGGAGTGCGAACAGCTAAATAGGCACTCGAAGGATTGTTTTCTTGAAAATCACAGTGAGAGCAAATAAACGTTGTGCAAATTTAAAGAAAAACAAGACATCTTAACAGCTTGCATATTGGTGTCCCCTCACTTCAGTGATTTCTAACGTGGTTTTCTTCATATGGATCTCATATGCAGCGCTTATCTCAGTCATTATGTTATCATCCAAGGATGCCATATTATTTAAAGGTAGTGTCTGCAGTTATGTGGGCACTAGATTTTGTAATCTCTTACTTGTTGCTGATTCATATAAATTGGAAGTATAATCATAGAGTTGCCTGATGTGCGATTTAACTCTCTGATCATTAAGCTGTGAGTCTAACGTTATAGTAACTGACCTGCCAATGCAAATTTGGAGCTGCACTGAAAATTAGGTGAGTTCACAGAGTAGAGCATAGAATTCAGAGTCGAAAGACCATGGTATCGAGTTTCAGTTGAAATATTAGTCACTTTTCCATCTAATAAACGCAAATCAGTACCCTTATATGTCAAGAAACCATACTGCTGCACGAAATTGTTGTCATCTTTGGTACGC